CCACCACCACCACCACCACAACCGCCACCACCACCACCACCAACGACAACAACAACAACAACAACAACCACGACAACAACAACAAAAGCAGCAGCTTCGCTGCATCAAGAGACAATGGTTCCGGCTTTCGCAACTTCGCGTACAAGACTGTGTCGAAAGCCTCCACATCCGTAATGCCTCAAGCACCCATGGATCAGATGATTCAGCAACTGGTGCTTGCTTCAGCAACTGCGCTTTAGAAAAACATGCCCTTTCAGCAACTGCGCTTCCGAAACTGCCGCGGTTCAGCACATGGCGCTTGAGCAGCTGCCGCGATTCAGCAACTGCGCTTGACTTGAGCAACTGCTGCGGGTCAGCAACTGCCGCGGTTCAGCGACTGCGCTTCAGCAACTGCCGCCTTTCAGAAATTGGCCCAGCGGTTCAACGACCGCGCTTGAGAAACTGCCTAATGTTGCTCATGGTCTAGTGCGATTTGGGAGCACCATGTCCAAAACCTTACAACGTCCATGGTCTAGTGCGATTTGGGACCAGAGCATCCATGTCCCAAACCCAATGACGTCCATGGGGTCTAGGGCGAGTTGGGAACAGAGCATCCATGTCCAAAACCAATGACGTCCATGGTCTAGTGACCATAGAGCACCCATGGCCAAGACCTACTGATGTCAGGCGTCCGACCAGAGCACCCATGTCCAAGACCTAATGACGTCCATGTTCTAGGGCGATGTGGGAACAGAGCATCCATGTGCAAAACCTAATGATGTCCATGGTCTACTGCGAGTTGGGAACGGAGCATCCATGTCCACAACCTAATGACGTCCATGGTCTATGTGCGGTTTGGGAGCAGAGCATCCATGTCCAAAACCCAAATGACGTCCATGGTCTAATGCGATTTGGGATCGAAGCATCCATGTCCAAAACCCACTGATCTGCGTGCCGTGTTTTTGGAACGGGGCTGGACGCAGGCACCGGGCGAACAGCTTCACCATGATTTTGTTGAAGATCCCGCGCGAGCAATGCTCAATCAAAAGCTATTGGCAGGAGATTGGAGATTAATGGAACGCCTGCCTTGGGAAGCAAATGCCCAACAAGGCTGCCGTGTGCTTTCAGGTACATTGCAGCAATGCCAGGCAACATGCAGGCATCCCAAGACATCGGTATTCGGGTCGGCGACTACAAGGTCCAGCACGCCGCTACAACATGCAGATCGACCCGGACACACACCAGATGATGCTGCAGCTGCTGCAGGGCCGCAGCAGCCAAGAGGTCCTTCGGCTCCTGAAGACCTCAGTCGAGCAGGAAATCTTGGTGCAGTTGCGCATTCTGATGCACGACCTCTGCTGCGTCCTCAAGATCGACCTCGATACTCCTGCCAACGACTGCCTGGCCATCAGTTCCGCTGCACATGCGCCGGTCGTGGTATTGTGACCATGACTGGTCAAGATAGGGGGGGCATGTCAGAGAGTATTTCGTTGTATTGCGTGCATGGAAAGAAAAAGAACTGAGAGAGCGGCCTTTACAGCTAGCAGCTAGAATCCTCCAAAACAGTCCGTGGGCGGCAAGAGCGGGAGAGGTAACTGATACTCTGAAAGAGGCTGTTTCAAAAGAGAACTCCACAGGTGTTCCAAAAACCATTGGCGGTCTGTTCTTTCGAATCGCTGTCACGATATCAATACCTTCTAGTCCTATCTGAGCCATTTTCCTAATGAGCCATTACGCTCTGCTGTCAAATTTCACGTTGATGTCTCACAGACATTTTCTTCACAGCAGTACAGTTTTGTCGGCCAGGGACAGTAACAATGTCAGTGATCGCTTGTCGCCTTGCTGCTGGCGTGGGTACATAGACGTCTGCATTGCTTCGGGTCGTGTCAGTTCAGACTTCTGAGGCGCTGGTTTTGAGAAGGCTTCCACATGTTCCCATGTCCTTCTCATGCGGTGGTATTTGGATGATGACAACGCCATCAACCTCGCCAAGCTCGACTCCTTCACGACCAAGATTGCTCCAAGGACGGGGCAGGAGGCCAACGAAAAGCTTCGGCGTGAAATTCAAGTGGGGAAGCTGCCAAAGCACTCACCAAGGCTTGCAATGGAGGCTTTGAGAAAGAAGCTGGAAATTCGACGCCAAAAGCGGCAGGGGAAGCCGACCGACAAGCAGCTCAAGGTCTGGGCCTGGTAACTGGACCTAGGGTTTTCGGCACAAGCTGGCCACTTAACTTTCTTGTCCACTTAGCTGGAAGCTTAATAGTAGTAGTAGTAGTAGTAGTAGTAGTAGTAGTAATAGTAGTAGTAGTAGTAGTAGTAGTAGTAGTCGTAGTAGTAGTAGTAGTAGTAGTCGTCGTACTTGCTCGGGAAGCGAGAATAGAGTACAGGTTGCGTTTTCCTACCAGAGCGCTTCATATGATGTGGCAACGGTTGACTTGGTGTAAAAGGCTTCAGGCATATAGGATTTTTAGGCGTGGTCTCTACAGACGCACTCGCAGACCACAAACTTTCACTCCTAGTCCGGTCATGGCTCAGCAAACATGAGAGGCGAAACAACAGTGCTGATATGCAATGCTTCAAAAAACATGAAGCAAACGGGTTCGATGCTGTTGGGGTCATAGGTACTGGTGTTAGCAATTTTGCTCCTTTGGGCAAGTGAGCCAGTAAGGACCAAGTGTAAGCAGGTCGAACTTGACATTTACTCAGCCCAGAGTACAGTGTAGCGAAGCATTGATTTTCGCCCTTCGAAGCCCTTGCAGATCCTCACTCCGCTATGCCCCTGGGAACTGTTCCGTAATCCTGGTTTCCAACCCAACTGCTGCGTCGGGTTCTGAACCCAGGTGTAGTCTCCGAATCAGTACGTTTAATTTCCGAATCAGTCTGCTTAATTTCCGAATCAGCCGTTCCAGTTGCCGAATCAGCCGTTCCAGTTTCTGAACCACGGCTGGTTTCTGTATCAGCCGTTCTGGATACTGAATCAGTCGTTGCTGTTTCCGAATTTTCCGCCGACCAGCTTGATCCGACACGTGCCCCGAGCCCTACCAACCCCAAAGAAGTTGTAAGAAGCTGAGGAAATTTGAGCCCACTTCCAGCCTAGCCCCCGCAGCCGAAGTCCCACACCACACCACATTGTTTTTTTTCACAGGTGACGGCCGCAAATCCGGAGCCCCACAGTTATCAAAGTCCCAACGCTGTGAAATCCGCAGCCCCGAACATCCAGTACTGAACCTCAAGACCTTCGTAGGCCCCACACAACATAAACTTGACAGAAGACGAACTTATAACTCAAGCTACAGGTTTCGGTTTAGGGGTGTCGTGGTTTGTCAGCTGGAGTTCTGTCCAAAATTCAGAATGAGGCTCTGGGCGCTGTGGCTCCGTCGCCTCCCTGGGATCGCTCCAAGCAGGGCTTCCCGAGGCCTTGGGTTGAAAAACAAAACAACGGCTGCGCTGCTGCTGCTGCTGCTGCTGCCGCAACACCATCATCATTACCACTACCACTACTGTACCACTACCATTCCGACTTCTGTTGATGCCTCTGCGACCATTACCAATGGGCTTACGGATTGCAGGCTTTCTGCAGGAAATAGAACAGCTCAAGGCCAGCGTTGCTAGATGTGCGCTTGCAACTTTTGAAGCTATGTTGGGCGATGCATCCACCAAGACCACAGGTACAGAGCTGCAAAGCAATAGTGAATCCAGAAGCTTTATTTCCAGGGTCACATGCCAGGGGTACATGCTTGACGTGGCGCCATGCATACGCACGAATAAGATTGAGTTGACAAAAAATATCAAAACGAATCTCTGAAAAATAATGCTTTCGCTGCCATGACACACACACAAGAGAGGGAGCGAGGGGGGTTGGAAGTGTTGCACACTTGCACGGAGGATATCTCCCCTAGACTTGAACAAGAAACGAAGAGAGACAGGCAGAAACAGAGATAGTTGTAATCACTGTGCATCACCGTGGGCAGTCTTGCTTTGACCCAGCAACCGATCCATTTGGTCCATTTGTTTCGGTTTTGCATCGTGGCGAGGTGGCACATGCTTTGTCCTTTCAGGGGAAGGGGTCAGGAGATGTTTCCGCCTACGCCTATAGAATCTTGCATCAAGTTCCTTCGTCTGTGATGGCCAGCTGTGGTCACACATGCCTGGCGCTCGCCTAGCCATACACCACTCCCCCAAGTTCTCACAAGCAGACTTGGAGCCGATTCCATCCGCTTCTTGGAGGCACTGCCTGCAAGGCGGCACGCTGGTTTGCAGATCTTCGGCACATCGAGACACAGGCGCTGACACCTCCGCCGTGGCCATGGCCGCACAGCACATTTGTCTACCCTGTCTTGGTCCGAGCACATGTAGAAACAGGACACTGGCCAACTAAGCATTTGCATAAAGTTTGGTTTTTCATGGGGTTTTCAGGCTGAGTGATGCAGGCCTCAAGAGCAAAGTTGGGTGACGTGCTTTGAGTCCGGAGCTTGAGGTTGATCCAGTCTCCCAGCACCAGCTTGGAGCATCGCGATGGCAACATATTTCTAGAAGGCCGCCAAGACTGGAGTGGAAGAAGTGTTCCACCAGAGGGCGGCTACAGTCCAGGTCTCACCCCGTTTTACTTATCTTATGACCGCTTCTTTGGGCCCTGCAAGTTAGATCCCGGCACCCTTATCCATAAACACCATGGACAAAGTTGCTTACGGACGGGACAACAGGTTTCATTTAGAGCTTTTGTATCCCATTCTGAAGGGGTGACAGACAAACACGAATGAACAAGATCTCGCAAATGGCGGGGCCCAGCTTTTGCACGCGAATAGTGCATCGTGCAGTGCTCCGAGAGATTCATCGGACCTTGCTTGACTCGCCAGCGAAGTCCAGCTTCAAAATAGTCTGGATGGTAGGAGTGGACTCGGATTTTGTGTGCAGTTCAGGTCATCTCAGGGGTGCAGTCGGTTTTCTGGCCTGAGGTTTTCCAACAGGGCAGGGCCGCTCGTGGGGATTCTGTGGTGTAGCTGCAACAGAACGCCCTGCCTCTGTGTTCTCGAGCCCTCAAAATATGCAACAAAGATGCAGTGCAGCAGTGCTAGTCCTTGTGAGTCAACGCCTCAGCTTTGAGCCCCAAAATGCCAAGCTCCCTCGACATTTAAACAGAGCCACGTAATGGGTTTGGAAGATGAGGCAGTTGAGAAGAAGATTCAACATGCGTAGGTGGCCGCGACCGTTCTGCTGCTTGAGGGTACAGGCTTCAGGAATCTGTTTCGCTCTTCTCGGATGTGGGCAGGACTTCTTTCGTGGCAACCTGTCCGCGGAGGAGCACTTCGGCATTTTACTCTACTGACCTTACGACAACAGAGGCTTCATGTCGGAAGAAGTTAACTGCAGATAGGAGTAGCGGGTTTGTTGCCTAGAATCCTAGAAAACGCGCTACCAAGCCGGCAGGTCTGAGCCACTCTTCAGGTTACTGACCCCTTTGATTGTAGCTCTGTATCGAGGTTCAGCTTTGCTACTCGCAGCAACTCATTTCGCAGACCATCAGTCCTTCCAACCACAGCCGGGGCTCTCCATCGGGAGAGCCGTCAGGAGTACATGATGAGAACCTGCCAGTGCGTTGGTCCTTCAAATACGTGCCCCGGAAGCATGGAACGTCCCTTGAATCATTGGCTTTCTGATGAGCCCCGCAAGCCATGACACAATGTTCTCGTCAACGGTCTGCAAACTCAACACCCCGAGTATCAATCTCAAACAAAGCAATGCTTTGTTTTAGGAATGCTTCGATTGGGACTCCATTGGCACGTGTCAGGGTTTTTAAGTTTGGAATTTTTCAGGGTCTCAGGATGTATGTGCGGTTGATAAGCTTAGCGATGCATGAATCAATGATGAATTGCGTAGTATTCGCGGCTTTTCCCGGACTGAGGTTCAGGGCTTCGGTATTTCGAGAGTCTACTGCTGCTTGTCTCCTTTGGTGATAATTGGTGGTGAGCATGCGCAAGTGAGCAAGTGCACTCTTTCGGCAGCTTGTCGGAACTTCGGTGATGGGTGTTCAGTTCATACGTAAAGGGACTGCTGATAGGAAGTGCTGGCACAAGAGCTTAATGGCTTGATCATGATGCAAAGACGACTGAGGACCACAGCATTCTTCTATGCACCTGGGCTGCACCTGCCGGATGATGCAAGCATAAGGACTGAGGCCTGCATGCGCACAGGCAGGTCCCGGTGTTTTTAAAAGGTGCCGAGTTTTCGCCCTCTTGCCCGCCCCCCCCGAGGTTCCAGAGATGAAACACATGCCGCCGCTGAGCCGCACTTCACCAAAAACTAGATTGCTGGGACTCCGGGCGTCGCTTTAATCTCGTGTAGCAGATGGAAGGGTGGCTTCTTCTGGTCCAAGCTTCTCGAGACCTTCCAGAGACTATCTGGCAGGGTTTGACCTCTAAAGTTGCTCTAAAGCATCCGCCAGCCGCGTAAATGCAAGCGGAAGTCTGAAAGTTTGGCCAGACCTCAGAGTGCCAGAGAGCAGCAGCTGCGCCGACGCGCCGATGCTCCCAGGCAGGATGAAGTGATCCAGGCGACGCTCGGCTGCCTGGTAGAGGCGGCTTTGGATTGGTCGAAGGTCCCTCTGCTCGGGTGGAGGCTTTGAACTTGGGGTTGAGGGCTGGAAGCTCTACTAACAGTCAAGGGTTGTGGCTATTGGGTGCACGTTGTGGTTTATAATGGTTTATAGTCTAGCTTAGATGGGGAAAGGAGCGAAAGGTGGAAGAGAGATGGACTTCAGGCGCTGGGTTTAGGTGCAATCATCAGAAGCCCCGTGAGCCGACACCCTTGCTCTGCAAGTCATCCCAGAAAACCTCAACCCTCGACTTCAAGACGGGACTTCGACTGCCTGACCCCTCGAGCCTCAATACATGAATAAGTAACACCGAGAGTACCGACAAGTACTGCAGTACAGGTCGGTCAGTGTCATCGTCAGCATAGCCACCATGGAGCCCTCTGCCCTCACACCCAAATCTGCAAGCGCTTCGAATCAGGGAGGACTGACCGCTGTCATGAAGCATTTGGGGGAAGCGCAGGAGGTGCAGAGCTTGGGAGGAAGCGGACCTGGGATGAGAGTAGGAAAAGCACGGCCCAGAACGATACTTTTGCAATGAGCAATGTCTACTTTGTCTATTTGAGTGTCGTGTGGTCTCCGCAGGTACAGTCGAGCTTTGCGCTCCCTGGGTCAGTTGTGAATCTTTGCAGCTGCGAGTTGGGGCTAGGAGTAGGTCTCGAGCATGAAGCTTACGAAGTGAGAGCCTCTGGGGCTTTGGGAGTGTTTTGCAGGCCGTGAAGTCGGAGTCTGAGAACTCTGGACATGTGAGGTAAGGTTCAGCATTCACCGATCAAAGAGGGGGTGCTGTAGCACTCGTGCACCCTTGAAGTTCATTTAAAGTTTCGGCGGACGAATCCGGAGGCACTCATTCGCATCGGGTTCGGAGGCGTCCTGCGCTTCACCACTCAGTCGGGTGAGGGACTCAGAGAGGCCTCGGCCTCCTCGGGCCGGGCCTTGGCTTGTCAAGGTCGCACTGACGGGGCCGTGATCTCTCAACTTAGGGTCAGGCTTCGGATACGGAGAATTAATGGCTCTCGGCCTCCGGGCAAGCGGCGCAGTAGCCTGTAGCTGGAGGCTTCCTCTTCCCATTAGATCGGTTCTCCGACGACAAGGGCTGGGGTTTTGGGCTGTGCTTCTTGATCACTGCCATTTGCCCAACCGTCACCTTGGAAGCATCCTCAAAGTTTTGACCCAGGATGGCAAGAGCAACGATTCGGGCCACAGGTTCCTGCCTGCGTCCCAGACCACCTGAAGCTTGTTACTCCTGGGCTTCGCGATGTCGAAAGTGGAAATGCATGTCATGGAACGTTTAGTTTTCGTTGGCTTCGACAAAACAGATGAAGACTGTCTCTGCAGATCGCGGATTCCATTGGTTCGGGTGATATCGTTGGAGTTGAAAGAAGTGGGTTCTTAGGCAGCTAAGGCGTTGTACATGGATGGCGGTTTGGAGGGACTGTCTGTCAGTGGAGTGCTGTAAATGCGGCGGTGCAGGACGCAGGAATTCGGAAAAGTGGGACGGGCAAACGCCCGTCGCAGCAAACCCCTAACTCTACAACTGTCATTTGCTTCGACTCGCACTCGTGCTACTCCTACTATACTTACTCTACTACTCCTATTGCAACAACCACTTCTCCTACTGCTACGACTACCACTACTACTACTGCTGCTGCCACCACTACTACTACTACTACTACTACTACTACTGCTACTACTACTCCAATACGACTACAGCTACTGCTGCTGCTGCT